AGCTTCTCCTAACAAGCAGACCAAAACACACCTAGCATCTAGCTTCCTGTATGTATTTTATTTTTTAATTTAATTTTTAAATTTTTTAATTTTTACTTTGTTTTATTTTGCTTTTTTTCCCCCACTCCAAAATGACAAGATGGAGGAATTTACCCCAAAAGAAAGAACAGGAAGAAATGACGGCCAGATATTTATTCAATGCAGATATAAGTAAGATGTCTGAACTAGAATTTAAAACAACAATTATATATCAGCTGGGCTTGAAAAAAGCATAGAAGACACTAGAGAATCCCTTACTGCAGAGATAAAAGAACTAAAATCTAGTCAGGGAGAAATTAAAAATGCTACAACTGAGATGGAGCCCTGAATGGATGCCATAAAAATGAGGATGGACGAAGCAGAGGAACGAATCAGTGATATAGAAGATAAAATCATGGAAAATAATGAAGCTGAAAAGAAGAGGGAAACAAAGGTAATGGACATGAGGGTAGACTTAGGGAACAATGTAACTTATTAAAATGGAGTAACATTTGTATCATAGGAGTCCTAGAAGATGAAGAGAGAGAAAAAGAGGCAGAAGGTTTATTCGAGCAAATTATAGCTGACAATTTCCCTAATCTGAGGAAGGAAGCAGATATCAAAATCCAAGAAGCACAGAGAACTCCCATTAAATTCAACAAAAGCCGGCCATCGCCAAGGCATAGCATAGTCAAATTCACAAAATACACAGACAAGGAAAGAATCCTGAAAGCAGCAAGGGGAAAAGTCCTTAACCTACGAGGGAAGACAGATCAGATTCTCAGCAGATCCGTCCACAGTAACTTGGCAGCCAGAAGAAAGTGGCAGAATATATTCAGTGTGCTGAATGGGAAAAATATGCAGCCAAGAATACTTATCCAGCAAGGCTGTCATTCAAAATAGAAGGAGAGATAAAGAGTTTCCCAGACAAACAAAAACTAAAGGAGTTTGTGACCACTAAACCAGCCCTGCAAGAAATATTAAGGGGGACTGTTGGGGGAAAAAAAGATCAAAGCTCGGAATCATATTGGATACTGTCACTCTTATTTCTTATTCCACAATAATTTTTACACAGTGTTGCTTTTTAGCATGGCAGCTAACGAAAACCCAGTTTCATGAAGATCCGACATCATCAAAAGAAATGTATTTTGATTTAATGTTGAAGCTGTGAGCTACCTCAGACTGGTTCACTGGTTCACTGGTGCCTGACAGATGTTGAACAGCAGTGTTTTCCTCAAAAATTTAAAATGTCCTGTGGTGCCCCTGTGAGTTCACTCTAGTGCCCCAAGGTGCTTCAAGCTTTTTTGGGAACAGTATAGAACTAGACTGTAGGTGGTTAGACATAGAAGCAGAGTGTTACACATAGGAGTAATTGAAACAATTCAGGTGATCTGGCAGTCTGGTCTAGTTGGAAGTGGGAGAAGCTGTGAAAAGTAACTAAATTATGAATATATTTTAAAGGCAAGCAGTAGGATTTGCCAATGGGTTGGATATGGGGTGAAGGAGAGGATGTGAGAGGAGTCAAGGGTGATTCCACAGTTAGGGACTGAGCATTTAGAAGGATGGAGTTGCTGTTGATGAGGTGGGAATGTTCAGGGGGAGTTTGGTTTTGTACGTGTTAAGTTTGAGAAGCCTATGTGAGTGAGTTCTCCATCTCTAGATGGAGATGCTGAGTAGGTCATTGGAAATGATTGTGGAATTTGGGAAAAATTTGGGCTGGTATGAAATTGTTTAGTATACTTCAGTAGTCCCACTAATAATCCTTCTCACTTTTGACCATCTGTGATTTTTATCAAATGTCTGTACATTTTGGAAATATATACATATATATATAGATACACACATACAGGGATATATATATATATATATATACATGGATATATATACACACATATATATGTGTGTATAATATTTCTTATTTCTATGTATATATTTTCTCTTAACATTATTTTATATACATAAATTCTTACAGGGTCATGTTTATATATTCTATTAAATTATCTTGAGTCAGTTGATATCATTTATCTAAAAAGGTTTTATAGATCAGAAGCCCTGTAAAAAGGTTAATTCTTATTGTTGTTGTAGTGTATTTAGTAATTAATAATATTCCATGATACATTTAACCATTCCTCTGTCATGGGACTTTTAAAACATTTATGATTATGTGTTCTTACAAATGCATGATTTTAGTATTTGAATGAAAGTCCGGAGTTCCTAGAGTAATTAAAGTAATGATACAGTTCTACATATCTAGGTGATGATCTGATGTCTGGTATGCCAATGATGTTATTTCATTCTTTTTTCTTCAGGCAAGACTTCAGCAATACATGGTCACAACAGATGAGCAACTTATATCGCTCACACATGCCATGAAGAACTGTCCAGTGATAAAAAGCAACAAAGAATGTCAGGCATCAGAAAGGGGATCCACGAGTAGGAAAATTATAGACAATCCTGGTGAGTGTGGTCTTATTATCCCAGGTTGGTATTAAAACACAGAGTAAACAAAACTGTAAACTTACATTTTATTGGTCACATATACATATATAGCATTGTCACTATGACAGTTGCCATCACTATTTCCAGCTAATATTTATTGGGTACTTGCTCTATGCCAGGCACTTTTTAAGTGTTTTATGTGTATTATCTCATTTAGTCCTCATAATAGTTTTATGAGGTAAGTATCACTGTTATCCCTACTTGCACTATGAGAAAACCAAGGCTTTGGGAGGGTTGGTAGCTTAGCAAGATCACACAACTAGGAAGTAGCAGAATTTGCTTCCTAGACTAGTGGGGCTTTAGTGCCAACACTTTTCATCACTGTGCACCAGGTTCAAGAGGAGAGGAGATGGTCTTGGAAAGAAAAAGAAATTCTGAGTTTTAGAAATGCACAACTTTTGTTCATTTGTGGTGATGTTTGGAAAGCCTTTCTTCACTTCCTGTGCCATCCCTATGTCAGAGCCTGAAAAGGACAGTTAGGCTTTTTCATGTTTTTTGCTTCTAAGTAATACTTTGATGAGTATCTATGTGTGGTAAGTATTTCATGTATTTAGGAGTGTTTTCTCAGGAGGGATTCTAAGAAGTGGCTGACTAAAATTTAACTTGGATGAGAGAAACTCAGTGGCTGGGGCAGGTCTCAAGGACTAAGTGCTTTTCTCAAAAACAGCCTCTTCTTCCCAGTGCTGGCCCCTCGGGAGCCTTGGGTGTGAGTTACAGCTAAAGGAGGATATGGCCTAGAAAGTGAAGGCTCTAGAGTCCATGTGATTTTGCTTTCTGTGGAAATGCATGTAAGTATAAATACCTGCAATGTATCCATGGTTGTAAGTGCTGATAGCCTCTCATCTTCTTCAGAGGGCCCTGTTGTAAATGCTAATGTCTCCATGCCATTGGTGTTCAGAGGGGAAGAATTGGCTGAATTCGCACAGGAAGACTTGCCTGTTAAACTGTCTCAGGTGCCAACTCCCCTGGATAGTGTGAATCTGACCAACAGTTTTCCAGCGCATATATTTGAACCGGCTGTGTTGTTAACACCACCCAGGCAGAAGAGCAACTCTGGATTCTCTCCCTTGCAGGACGGTAAGCAGGCTTCCTCTAAGCTGTGTGACAGTTGTTTTTTTATGCTTTATATATGTAACATATGGTGTCCATTGTTACTCTATAAATGGAATTCTGAAAGATATTGATTGCCACACATAACCTTTAAGCTGAAGGAGGATTTTTCAGGGTAATTTTTATCATGTGTGTTATACCTATGGTGAAATGTCACATTAAATTTCATTAAGTATCTGTTCTATTAGACATTGTAAATACTAAATCAAACCAAAAGATCAAAGTCCTCAGCATTGAAATGTGGAGTAAGGGAAATCCTCTTTTCCCTATGGTCCAGGAGCATAGGAAAGGGTAAGAAACAGATTATACTCCAGAGAGAGAGTAATGAAAGTTTAGCTAAGGAAAGATAGGAACTGTGACTATAAGGATTTTGTAAATCAGATTTGGTTATTAACCTCTTTATCACTGAAACTTGTTTAGCTTAGTCAGTTGAGGTAATTCTATAATGAAAGTTGATGGACAATTAAAAATAGCTTTCAGGTCACTTTTTGCAGGACATATATAGAGTTTAGAATAAAATTTTAAAAATTTATTGTTAATCCTTAGCCCAGAGATTCTTAACTTGGGGGCTCCTGGATGGTCTTCAGAAGTACCATGGAGTGTTTCATTGTTTGGAAAATTATGTTTATTTGTCCACCTGTGCATTTTTCTGGAGCTATAGAGCCTTTTTTTTTTTTTTCATTTTCAAAACAATTCTTCAGTCAAAAAACTACCTTAGACTCACCTCCATTGTTTTTAGAAAAATGTTATTCAGCCCTGATTTGCATACATTTTTATTTCTTTATTTTCTTCAAGTGTTTACTTTCTTACATAGGGGAACAGAATAATAACTTTTACTGTCATTGGAACTTAGAAATTTGGTCAGATTTTCTGTACCTTTTCAATAAAGGACATGAAGAGGCCATTGGTCAGATTTTCTGTACCTTTTCAATAAAGGACATGAAGAGGCCATAAGGGTTAAAGAAAATGACAAGTCCTTGCCATTATAAAATTTGTTTTGGCATTTATTATGCGATTGTAAAGTCTGTCAGATCTTTGTGGTGTAAGGAGACAGTGCTAGGCTGAGGGTCAGAAGTGCTAGACTCTTGGCCCATCCGATGACTATCTGGGAGGCTTAGAGCTAAGACACTTACCTTCTCCGCATTCATTTTCCTAGCTCCAAAATGAGAGATTTTTCTTTTATCTTTAATGTTCCTCCAGCTATACAGTTCTGTGATTTGGTATTTCCTCTTCAGAGGCTAGAGAGTATTACTAACTCTGGCTAGGAAATATTTAGGAAATATGATTTCAGTTCTGATTTCTGTTGAGGTTAGATTTTCATTCCTCAAAGTAATCTTTCAAATGTTTACATGGTATCAATAAGCTTGTCTAATGATCTCTTTTGAGGTACTGTAAATTATTTCCCACTGGTGATAGTAAGATAACTTGAAGTTCTTTTTTTTTTTTTTTTTTTTAAGTAGGCTCCACTTTTAGTGTGGAGCCCAACACAGGCATGAACTCACGACCCCGAGATCAAGACCTGAGCTGAGATCAAAGAGTCGAATGTTTAACGAACTGAGCTACCCAGGCACCCCTAAGTTTTTTTAAAGAAACAATTACCACAAATATTTTTACTCTGATTACAAGTATGCTAAATGTTCACTAAAGCAAATTATTTGGGGACTGTTATAGACACCCCTTTGTTAGCAGGTTTGCGTTGAAAATAATGCCACACATTTCTTTCACAGTGTGTAGATGGAATAACCTTTGAACATGTATTCTTAGTTGGTGAAGTTTTGTCATCATATTTTTCAGCATTTTATTTAGAATGCTCACGTATAAAGAATTGTTGAGTTAAGCTGAACATGTGGATAAAGGTGGGAGATACATCGGGCCCTTTATTAGTATTTGGTTATGCTCTGGAACAGCTCTGTCCAGTAGAACTTTCTGTGATGATGAAAATGTTCTGTGTCTGCTCCATTTATTGTGGTAGCCACTAGCATAAGGGGGAACTTGAAATGTGGCTAATGTGACTGAAGAACTGAATTATTAATTTTATTTAACTTTAATGAATTTGAATTTGAATAACTGCATATGGCCAGAGACTGTTATAATGGCCAGCATTGCTCTAGAATTTCCCATTATAGATCATTTCCTTTAGCTACTGTTTGACTTCTACTTTCTTTTACAGCCACACTTTTTGAAAGAATAGTGTATATATGCTGTTTTCATTTTCTTATCTCCCATTCTTCATTTTCAAGCATCAGCTCTAATTTATATTTTCATGTGGTTAAAAAAAGCACATACAAAGGTCTCTTCCTCTTTCATCTTTAGGCCTGCCCTAAGAGGGATGCATTTTTTCCCAGTTTGATTTCTACTTATCTTGTGGTGGTTGCCATAATTAATATAAAATATTTTTATATATTTTTTCTTAAATGTTAACTTTAGACAATAATTATAGACTGTCCTTTATTAAAGAAGAGGGTTTAATGAATATTAACTCCTACTTCCCTTCTCTATCTAATTTGGATGATTATATTTTAATGCTTAATTCTTCTGTTGCTTAACTTTGTGACTTCAAATACTTTCTATGTCTTCTCTGTTAACTCTATGCAGTATCTCTTGGCTTTCCTCTACGAGAGCCGCTTCCCTTCTGGCTCTCCTTTGCTTCCATTTCTCACCTTCATTCAGCCTACATTTCCTTTTACCGTATCAAGTTTGGTGACATTTACTTTGTTCCATTACCGCAATTATGTCTTCTGTGTCTTGTCTATAGATGGATACTGAAAGTTGAAAACAAATGACTGTTTTGTCCTATCAATCTTTGTGTCACAGGAAGGAAAAAGTTCTTAGTATGAAGATCAAAGTGAATTTCCTTTATTTCATTTAATCAGTTGCTCAGAATATTTAAGTTTGCTCTATATTTATACTGACTTTCTTGTTCAATTTTTGTTTTTCCCGGAGTTTCGAATTGCTTTTACCCTCTTGTTTACACATGAATAATATCTTCTAGTCCTTTAGTTACTGTCTGTGGCATGGAATCCGCTTTCATTCCAGAGATAATTCCCAAAGCTCTTTGACCCCTGGTCCAGTCGGCACTGATTGCTTGCTGGGCCCACTGCACACCTCTTATCCTGGGACTTGCTAACGTCACACTCCTGGGTTGTATCTACTATTTCCTGGATCCCACTTCTTCCTCTTTGGTTTTCTCCCTCAAGTTTCTGAAAGAAATCATCAGAATGGGTGTATAGAAGGTAAACCCTAAGTTCTTAAAAATCTGAGAATATTTTTACTTTTCTATTACACTTGGTTGATAATTTGGCTAGATATAGAATTCTAGGTCCATAATCCTTTACCCTGAGAAATTCGAGGCATTGTTCTATTGACTATTAGTATCTGCTGTTGCAGTTGAGATGTATGATGTAATATCTAACTTTTATTTCTTTGTATGTGATGTACTTTTTCTCTGTGGAAGCTTTAGGATTCCTTTATTTTTATTCTGACCTTGCATAAGGTGTGTCTAAATATGTTTTTTTTTTTTCTCCTCTCATTGCACTATGAGGCACCAGTGGGACCTTTTGGACTTGAAGACATGTGACTTTCTGCAGTTTTAGAAAATAGTATATTGACCTTCTGGAACATTTTCTATAAGCCTTATATCTTGCTTCTTATATTCTGGAAGATTTTTTTCACTTTATAGTCAAGCCTGTCTTTTATTTTTTTTTAATTATACCAAATTATATTTTTAATTTCTAAGCAAGAGACCTTTCTAGGTGTTTGATTGTCCTGTTTTCTTTGATGCTTATTACAAATGCATTATCTTGGGGCTCCTGGGTGGCTTGGTTGGTTAAGTGGCTGCCTTTGGCTCAGGTCCTGATCTCAGAGTCCCTCTCCCTCTGTGTGCTCTCTCACTCTCTCAAATAAATAAATAAAATTAAAAACAAACAAACAAAAACATTGCATTATCTTCCGGGAACTCTCTTCTGAGTATACCTGTTAGAATTTTATTATCTTCTCATCCGAATTTTCCTTCTCTTCTTAGTCTTTTGTTCTGTTTTCCTTTCCTGGTTCTTCTCTTTTGTGCTGGTTGTGTTGGTTTTCCTCGTATGTCTGGTGATTCTTTATTGCCCATCATAGTTAAGAATAAATGACTAGACTGAATGTTATAGGTGGTTGGCATAGGTTTTCTCTTCTGGGGTGTAGGTCGATCTAGGTCTGTTTTCCCAATAGGCTTTCTCTTCAACAGTTGCTTTGTATATATGGACATGCTCTGTTAACTGCAGGCTTCCTTTTAGGGTATGTAAGTAGTATCCAGCTATTTCACTGGGGCTACCACATTTGCTCTCCCCAATGCTGTTTTGTTTGCTTTTGAGAATGGGTGGGGCAAGTAGTGAGCACCGCTTGACCAACATAACTATAAGGTAGATGAACTTTCAAGTTATTCTCCAATTTTTAGCCTACTTCTCACTTTCTCCCTCTGTACAGTCAGCTTTGAGCTAGCAGCCTTTTTTGGGTTCTCCCAGAAAGACTGGCTTTTACCTGTAGCTTCCTTATAACGTATACATGTTCAGAACTGTGGCTTTTGTTCAATTCATTCTTTCATACACTTCCCATCCACTTTCAGTCTTCCAGAAATGTGTCTAAATATGTCCTTTGCTAATGACTCTCTTCCTAGACCATAATCTTTACTGATGTGGGTTTATTTGTTTTTTAATTTCCTCATTGTCAGTGAAAGGAGGTGAGTCTGTAGTCTTGAACTAGGAGCTCTGTCTCCCCAATTCTCTCCCTAATAGGTCATTTCGCCTAAACTACTCCTAAGGGCTTCGGTGGCCTCCAGGTTAGTAACTCCAGTGTACTTTTCTTCTGTCTTTGTGTTTCTAGGTCTTATGGTAATATATATGGATAACCACTCCCTCTTGGTTTCCTTCATACTACATTCTTGTAGTATTTCTCTAACCATTCTGGCTGCTCCATTTCAGTCTGCTTTGCTAGCTTCTCCTCTCTGTGCAGCTCTACATGTTGACTTCCTCATGTGTCAGTATTGATTTCTTTTCTCACTTGATTCTTTTTCTCTAGATAATCTCAGTCATTCTCATTGCTCCCAATACTGTCTATATGCCAGTGACTTCCAGTTTTGTATCTTCGCCTAGATGACTCTCTTGAGTTTCTGACTCACGAGTCCATCTGCTTAGACGGATATTAGGATAAATCATCAGGCACTTAAACTTATCCTGTTCAAAGTGGAATTCTTGATAGCTTCCCTTCCCCTAAATCTGTTCTTACCTTCTCCATCTCTATAAATCGTATCACTGCCCACTCAGTTGCGCATGCCATCTTGATCTGTGTGTTTCCTTTACTCCCTACTTCTAGTTCATCACTCTTAGATCTTTTGCCAAAATAGTTCTCAAATTTACCCACTTCTTTCCATCTCTGTAGCCAAAATACCTTCATTGGAGCTATCATCATCTTTCTCCTAGACTACCACAATGGCTGACTGGTCTCCCTACTTCCATTCCTGGATCTTCCAGTTAACACAGCATTTAAGAAATATAAATTGAGTCATTGCCAAACCTTCTCCATGTTTCATTGCTCTTGGATTAAATTATAAAATTCTTAACATGGCTTAAAAAGCTCTGTAAGAAATAGTTTCTGTACACCTCTCCAATCTCATATTTTTCCAGTTCTCCCTTGTTGCTGTGTTACACTAAATTGGTCTCACTTCTTTGCTTTTTCCTATTTTGGGGAGTTCACATATGTTGTTCTTTCTGCCTGTAATGTTCTTTGCTCTGCTTTCTGCCACATATGTAATCATTTTTAAATTTTACTTCTTCAGAGATGCCTTTCCTGATCATCTTCAGTTTACGGTAGGTATTTATACTCCCTCCACCCCCAAGATTCCCAGATATGAGTTAATATGTGTATTAAAATGTGAACTTGGCAGACTTTTTTACAAGGATACCAATAAAGCCTTAAGGAATATAAAAGTCTCTGTATTTGATTGTTTGATGTGGCATTGCTGGTATATTCCCTGCTAAAATAATTTAGGCATTTAGAAGCCAGACCCTTCTATTGGAATACACTTCTAACTACCATGATGAATAATGAGATGATTGTGGTGCCAGTCTGTGGCTAAATGATGCATGTTTATTCTGTTTTAATTTTATCTACAGTATTGAGGAGGACTGTTCAAACTCGTCCTGCTCCAAGAATTCCTCCAACTGTGGAAATAATTGAGAAGGAACAAAATTGGGAAAAGAAGACCTTACCTACTGACACAGACAATCAGAATTCAAGTGAAGAGAGTCGTCTCTTCACTCAGAGGTGGAGGGTGTCTCACATGGGGGAAGATCTGGAGAACAAAGCCCAGGCTCCTTTTGTTAACCTCTCACAGCCCTTCTGTAGTTCTCGTTCAAACACTCAGCAGGCCAGAATCCCCGAGTTCTCAGAAGAGCCCCTGGTACTGGGAGACGGGCAGCAGCTTAGAACAAATGAGGCATTAATACAAAGAAAAGACATCATGGCACGAATTGCTGAGTTGACACTGCAGAATTCAGCTATCAAGGCACATCTGAATAATATTGGGCCAGGAGGAGAGCAAGGGGATGGAGTTCGGGAATTAAACAAACAAGAGACAAGTCATGTGAGCGACATGACTGCAGTGAGTACCAGTTAAGGGTTGACTAGGGACATTTAGGAATTTAAGTACTTTGCTGGAGCAAAGTGATCCTGGATATCTTCAAGGCTGCTAGTAGAAGGCTTCTGCTTTGTTTTGTCCTCATCACGAAATAAGAAAAGTTATTTATCAGTTTATTTAACACATACAGTAAAAGAGGACAACGTAAAATAGAAAATGAGGAAAATGAATGAGAAAAATAGGACAAAGGTAAAATGTGTAGGAAAGCTGAAATTAAGCTGCAAATGAAGTTATAAATATAAAAGGCAGAATTAGTATGAGTTGAAAGCCTGCCATACAACTACATTTTAATTGAAAGCATTTTTACTCTTACAGGGGCTCATACAAGAGAATTAAGTGTAGCTGGCCCTCAATTCATGAGGAGTTAATTTTTTAGGACACAGAATGCATTTTCCTATAGAAATGATGTTTTAAAGGATTATTAAAGTCAGACTTTATGTATGAATCATCTGGAGATCTTGCTAAAATGCAGTTTCTGATTGAGCAGTTCTGAGATGGTACTTGTGCATTTTTGACAAGTTCCCAGAGGGTACCGGACCGAGGATTATACTTTGAATAGCAAAAATCTGCTTATTATAGTGAAGGAATTTTGTAGGCTAACCTGGTAACTTAAATCTTCATTTTCTTGTTCTTGGGGCGAAAAGGGATTCTAAATTCCAGCTGGGGAGTGTTTATAACACACGTTCTCATACTGGTCCCAGTGATGGGAGATACTTCCTTTTACCCCTTTGTGAGCCAGAGTGGCTCCTGTCAGGGTTCTGATAGGAGATGGAAGAGTGTTTTAGCAGTGGGAAGGAGCTGGGTAGCTTTATGGATTAGGGGTTCCAGAGGTGATTGCTTCTATAAAGGGCTTTACCAATGGTAGATTGGGGGCTTTCATGAGGAAGTTTAGGAAGGGGTGGGGGTGGGGGATAAAGGCCACCTCTGTCAGCACAGGCTCATAGGAAGTAAGGGCAGTATGAGTGTGGAGTCACAGAAGGGACTGGTAGTCTTTTACCAGGAAGAAGTCTTAGGAGTAGGCAGCAGCCATTGGTGTAGATGTGTGTAAGTACAGACTGCCTTAATTTTGAGTCATTGGAGGCATTTCTGTGTTTGCAGAATTTTGAAAGTTATTCAAAACAGGTAACTCTTGGTTTTTAAAAAGGCAACAGAGTTAAAAATTGAGCTTGCCTGCTTTTCTAATTCGTATATAGATCAGGCTAGTGAGGACAATCTATTATTATTGTCCTCACCACCCTCTTTGTCATAATCTGAATTTCAGAGTGATCTTTAATTTAAACTGTTTTGCTTATCTCTTTTTTTATTAATGTGCATAAGTTATAAAATAGTGATTTCTATTAGGAATTGTTTTATCCCAAAGGGTTATATTTAACTAAATGAAATAATCAAGAATGACACATATATTCCTCTCAGGAATTTTCATATTAAACTTATGTTATATTCCTTGGGTGGCTTTTTTACTCTACCTCTCATATTCCTTTCCGGTCACCACATTTCTCAAATTAGATATCTGAGGCCAAACATGGCTTGGGGCGGCTGACTCCTGGTCAAGAAGAGTGATAAGATTCCTAGAAATCTTTGCCAAATAACTCATGGTGCATATATGACGATTGGGATGGTAGAAGCATCTCTCGAGTACAGCAGATCCTCTTTTCTGTATTGAGATTCAAACCACAGATCTATCATTAATAGACCTGTTACTTAGAAGGCAGGTCACTAGCAGTACTGTCTTTGCTCATGGGATCTTTTGTGTACCTCAACAGACCCGAAGAGATTCGGGGAAGCTTTGTCCCACAGACATTCTCTGTGGACAAAGGGACTAGAGGGCTTATGTGGTACGAGTGTCAGAAGGATTAGTATCCCTTTCCTTTAGCCCTAATTTTTCAATTAAATGACTTTTATTCTTTGCCTGCTATTCAAGGTTACCTATAGTAAGGGCTGTGAATACTAACTAGCTGGCTCTTAGTGGAAAAGTTAATTTTTACAAAAAGTCAAAATTGTTTGGATTGTTTTTAATGTGGAATTTGTGCCTTTTTTTTTTTAAGACTTTTCCAGCAACACAACCTCTAACACCAAGTAGCATGGAGGAACGGATTGCAGAATTGAATCGGCAGAGTATGGAGGCTCGTGGAAAACTCTTGCAGTTAATAGAGCAGCAGAAACTTATTGGCCTGAATCTTTCCTCTCCACTGGTGTCACCCATTCCATCACCTCTCAGAGCATGGACTGGTTGGTCACAAATTCATGATTTAAGAGCCAGGCACATGGGAGTTTTCACTTTCTTGATTGTGCGAGTATATATTGAGCTGAAAGAAATCTCAAAGCATATATTTCAGTGCCTTCAATTTTACATAGAAAGAAACAGACCTAAGTCACAGAATAAGTGACAGAAATAAGACTAGAAGGCCAATCTCCTGGTAGAAAGCTATTCCATGGTGCCTGCAGTTAATCTTTGGTGTCTAAGTTCTTAAGTTGCCTGATGTGTAAATGGGATTCATTACAGTGTATGATTCACTTAGGACCTATGTAGTGGCTAAGTATAAAACATCAGCATCAAAATGTTAATTTAGAATTTCATCAGCAACAAATTACAAGTTATTTTATTAAAACCAGTTAAAACATTTTCATTTGTAAATTAAACTTCCCATTCTGTTGTTTTCTTAAGAATGTGATAAACTAGAGGGGATTCTGAATAACAGAATAGTAACTGATAAATTAGTTGTCATAATATTTACATACAAAAAAATATTGATGAAATGAAGTAGATCTTAAGTTGTTCTTTGGCAAAAATTGAATTACTAAGACCCTAAGGGATAGAACTGTATGAAGGCTATAGAGAGACTAATTTTGGCTCAGAATAAAAGAAGGTTCTAATTGTGAGGGATAGAAAATAATTCTATCAGTAAGGAGTATGTTCCTTGAGGTGCTCAAGTATTGGTATTTTAGAGGTATTCATCTGTCCTGAGGCTGGCTGAAGTAGGCTTTCTTTAAGGTATCTGCCAATAAGACTTAAAAAATTTTTTTTATTCCAGTATAATTAACATACAGTGTTATATTAGTTTCAGGTGTACAATATAATGATCCAGCACTTCTATACATTACTCAGTGCTTAGTGTGCTCTTAATTGCCTTCACCTGTTTCACCCATCCTCCCACCCACCTCCCTCATGAGACTTTTTCTCTCAGTTACAAATCATTCTTTTTTGAAACTTCAGACCTAGAAAGTAGACTCTTAAAAATTACTGGAAAATGACAGATAATGCATTTCCCCAGGGCCCTTTCTCTTTGCTATTCTAGGCTTCTTCAAATGACAGCTAAGTCTGCTGTTCTTCATAGTCACGAAGCGTAGAGGCAACTTCTGATTAAATCACTCGATACGTTTGAACATCTACTACCTGCCGCCCTGTTCTGGGCCCTGGGGAAACTGCTTTGAACAGGACAAATCCCTGTCCAGCATTATGAGATAATGTTAGGTGGCGCTAAGTGCAATGAAGAAGAATAAAGCAAATTACTCTTAAGAATAATTTTGTAATTGGGGGGGGGCACCTGGGTGGCTCAGTCAGTTGGGCGTCTGCCTTCGACTCAGGTCACAATCCTGGATCCCTGGGATCGAGCCCCACGTCAGGCTCCCTGCTCTGCGGGAAGCCTGCTTCTCCCTCTCCCTCTACCTCTCCCCTCTGCTTGTTCTCTCAAGTAAATAAATAAAATATTTAAAAAAAAAATAATTTTGTAATTACATTAGACATCTTCTGTTTCAATCGTTCTTTAAGGTTAAAAGTACTTCATGTCTATTATCTTATTTAGTCCCCAACACACCCTGAGAGTAGACAGAGCTGATGTTATAGCTTTTTGATATGTAAGTAAACTGAGGGAAAAGAAGTTAAGTGATTTTTCTGAAGTTCTAAAGCAAATTGGTAAATTTGCAAACTGTGTTCTTTTCATTCCAGTGGTTATATCTCCAGAATATTCTTTTTTGGTAATATCTCCAAGATATTCCTTTTTAAAAGTAAAATTCTTGGTGTCACGGGTACCTTTGTGCGCTATGATGATAAAGATATAATCATATGCCATACAAAACCTCTTTGGTTTCTAGGGTAATGGAGGAATATGTTATACAATTAAATACGGTTTCATTACGCACTAAAGCCCTGAAGATCACTGATTTTAAGTAGTGATTCATAAGAGCCTCTGTGAAACTGTCTAGTATAGACATTAAGTCTTAGTAGATAGTTAGTAAATATTTGTTAATTGATAATCTAACTTGTGAAATATTGAAAATGAACACAGTTATACTTGCCATTGGCCATATGAACTCTTCAGCCAACTTTCCCCTCCTAAGTTAATGCCTTCAGGAATCTAATAATATAGTAGATTTAGAGGATTTAAAGTTTTATTGAATGACTTCAGAAATTTTCCTTTTTCTTTTTAATTTTTTTGAAAATTTTAGATAAGCTGTTTTTGACAAAAATCTTAAGATTTTTAGGGCTAGCTCTTAATTTCTGTTTTTCACTTCCAGATCTGACATGATACCACTTGTCTGAAGATTCTGGCTTTCTATGAACTGGCATGCTACTGAATTGACACTAGTAACTAAAGTTTCTTGTCTCACAGTTCATTTTGAAAAAAATCCTTCAAGGGTGTCTGTGGGCCATAATGAAAATATAGAAAGAATCTCCAAATTTGTAATGTGAAATTTGCAGTAAGATAGAAATCAAGTTAAATTTTTATTTTATTTTAATGAAAGATAATGAAACTAATATTTATTTTTATATTTTAGAAGGAGGAAAGAGGACAATTGAAGTATCTATTCCAGGAGCTGAAGCCCCAGAAAGCTCAAAATGCAGTACTATCTCTCCTACCAGTGGGATAAATACACGAAGGTAGGGTTACAACATGCACAGTTATTTTAAAAAATCAAGAATGTGGTGTTTCTTTCTCTTTGTGAAAAAAGGAAGTGCACAGTATTTGACTTAGGTTCAGACAGACTCACTCCTGTGGAGAAAATAAAGCAATTGGAGAGAAGAATTTCTGGGGAAAAAAAAGAGGAGTGAGGAACAAGCCTTAAGTAGAACAGTGTGGGTTGGCTATTGAGGACAAAAACAGGATAATGGCACATATATAGAGTGCTTTATAGGTTATAAAATTAGGAGATAACATATGACGGGGGTACGTTGACGGGGGTATTTTTCTCCTTTACAATAAATGAAACTGAAGCTCATTGAGCTAATTGGGTGGTTTGCTTAGGTGGGTCACATGGTTGGTAAAGGGTGGCACTGAGGATGGACCTGGCTCTTCTGTCTCCACTCTCTGTACTTACCTCGACACTGTGCTGCCGTTCAGGGCTCTTTACTCTTCCGCTGCCGGGCCTTCCCCCTGCCCCTGCACATGCATCTTTCCCCTTTAGTGTTAGAAATGTTAGAGCATGATACTGTAATGGTGGATATTGTCATTATACACTCATCAAAACCCATAGAATGTATAACAAAAGGGTGAACCCTGATGCGAGCTATGGATGTAATTAATAATGTATCAGTATTATCTCATCAATTGTGATAAATGTAGCAACCTGATGCAAGGTCCTAATAATTCGGGGAAACTGTGTGGGGGAGTTGAGGGCTGTATTGAAACTCTCTGTTCTTTACACTTAATCCTTTTGTAAACCTAAAACTACTCTAAAAAAGGAAGTCTAATAATTAAAAAAAAACAAAACAACTTAGGGTGGTAAAAATATGTTACAAATAATTTACCTCATTTGGACCTAACTCAGCCATTGCCAATACTGAGATTTGTCAGTCTTATATAATTTTTTGAAGGTTAATGATGATAGATCACTCTCCCACTCTCTTTTATTTCTCGTAAATAGATCTTCAGGGGCTACTAGTAATTCTTGTTCTCCATTAAACGCCACTTCAGGAAGTGGGCGATTCACACCTGTTAATCCAAGAGCAAAGGTATGTGATAAAATGTAATTGTGAAATGTGTGTAGGGGTCAGGAGAGTGGGGTGGGGGAAGGTGGCTGATTTAGTGATTTCCATTCTTTTTTTTTTTTTTTTAAGATTTTATTTATTTATTTGACAGAGAGAGATAGTGAGAGCAGAAACACAAGCAGGGGGAGTGGGAGAGGGAGAAGCAGGCCTCCCGCGGCGCAGGGAGCCTGATGCGGGGCTCGATCCCAGGACCCTGGGACCATGACCTGAGCCGAAGGCAGATGCTTAACAACTGAGCCACCCAGGCGCCCCTAGTGATTTCCATTCTTAATTAAATTCTTGTTATCCTACAGGTGACATAAAATTCTCAGAAGAAAAGAATTCCTAATTCACCTTTACTAGAAAAAACCTTTAAGCGATATAGTCTCTTTTGTGTTCTGGGGTAGCTAAGGAATAAGATAAAATTCAATAAGATTTCAACATAGACTGGAAATTACTGGTTTCAGGCAAAGCATTCTAATAATGTGGCAGGACATACAGGTGTGCCTTGAAGTAGTAGTTACACTGAGATATTGGTTCCCTCAGTGCTTGCTGTGGCTGTGTGGGATTGGGTTATCCAGAGCCCTGGGGCCACTTTCCTTGTCACTTAACCTAGTATGCTGTATCTGAGTGTGCCACTGGTTAGAGAAGTTGTGGTTAATCAATGTCATACATATTCTTCATGTGTTCTGATTTGCTGTAGATTAGACCAAATAGTGAGTGCTTCAGTAAATATTGAATAGTTATATCCCAGATTAATTTATATTCTCAGATATCCCCATTGTCTAGCCCTAGAAGATTTGTCCTTTGCTGTTTCTTATATCCTAAAAAAGTTTTAATAAATAAATAAATAAATATTTATTTGAGAGAGAGAGCGCACACGTAGGCACACAGACAAATGGGGTAGGGACAGAGGGAGAGGAGAGAGACTCTCAAGCAGACTCTCTGCTGAGTGTGGAGCCCAGCCTAGGGCTGCATCCCACAACCCTGAGATCATGATCTGAGCTGCTTAACCGACTGAGCCACCCAGGCGCCCCTAAAAAAGTTTTAAAGAGGCTGTTTTATATAATTTGCCCTTAGTTTCTGGAATTTAGTAACAATTTTAATTTACTAAGATCAAATAACTTTATTTTAAAAAGTTATTTTTAAAAAGTTGTACCTATAATTTGTATAAAATACTGGATTTAAATTCCTTTATTTAAAAATTAGGTTTCCTCAATCAGTCAGGGGACCTGTTGACCAGGGAATCAGTTATTTGGGAGTGGCTCTTTTAGAGAATAAAAACTGCGAGTAGCAATTTAATTTTCAGTACCGTTTGATGACAAAGGATAACTTCTGTGTACTTGGTCTAAATAATTATAAACCTTAAATGGGCTCATGTTCCTGATTACTTTCTAAATCCGTCTTGCATCTTTGTTCAACAGATTGAGAAACAGAATGAAGAAGGCTGGTTTGCTCTTTCTACCCACGTGTCATAAGTGAAGTTAGTTGTACAGAATTTTTTTTCAGTAGTATATTCTTGAGCTTCCACTCCCGTTTCCCTGCTCCTGCTTTCAAGTTTTCATGTCCTTTTAGATAAAACCTACAAAGATCTTGTAACTTAGTACTTATGGAACAAAGAATAAAGAAATTATTTAAATCTTGGATCTTTTCAAATAAATTTCCAACAACTAACCAATGTACAACCTCCTGTGAATAAAATTTTGATTATAGGGAAATTGAAGTTTTATATTCTAATAATTTCATAAGTATTGTAAAGTTTTGCTGAGTAACACATTTTTACCTTTATCATCTTTATTCAGGTTTTTTCTTTTTTTGGTCTAGTATATCTTAAATTATTTCTTTCTTTTATTTTTTTCTGAAGAATTAAGTTGCTTTGCATGTAACTTACAATAAAATGGCTCTGGGTGATTAAAGTCTGGCTTTCAGAAAAATTTAACATTCCCTTTGATTTCTTTTTGGGAGGGAAGTTACTGTTGTCCATGGCTTTTTCCACCGAGTGGAATGTATAGCTTTAAAAAGTAGGTGTGGGAACATCTGTTTATATTTGTTTATGCAGATAAGAGTGGTTGTATATATCATAAAATTCTTATACAGGCTTTAAATGTGAAAATGTCATCAATAATGGTAATGTACATCAAATAAATAATGCTCATAGAGCTCATGTCTAAATGCAGTAACATTGATTTAGTGTTTGAAACAGAAATGAGTACAAAAGGTTGCTGTCAACTTTCCCGCCCTGAATCTACTACGCATTCAGAGTTGTTTTCTTTTTTCTTTTTTTTTTTTTTTTAAGATTTTATTTATTTATTCATGATAGACAGAGAGAGAGAGAGAGAAACAGGGAGAAGCAGGCTCCCAAGGAGCAGGGAGCCTGATGCGGGACTCGATCCCAGGACCCTGGGATCATGACCTGAGCCGAAGGCAGATGCTTAACCATCTGAGCCACCCAGGCGCCCCAGGGTTGTTTTCTTCAAAGCACCTGTTTGGCTCTCAGACACTGGCTTTTATTTTAACTTGCTTTTTAAATTATCTCTGTCCTTTCACTGGGATGGAAATTCTCAACCTGGTGTAGTGGGAGTAGGGCAGGGGAAACACATTGAAACTACTTGGGGAACTTTCTCAGACAACACTGTCCCTCCTCCTGGAGTTTTTCGTATTCTACGAAGTGTCATATGCAGCTTTCATTTGGGCCTCTTCATTGTGGTGGCAAAAATACAATTTTTCTCTGGTGTCACTGATTTTATTTACATGAAGTCATCTGTATTCATTTGCATTATTGAAGATTCTTCCATCTGTATTGTACTTTTTTGAAGCTTGGTTTTTAATAAATACTATCCCTGTCTGGAATATAAAACCATTTTTTTTTTTTTTAAATAAGAAACTTTTTTTTTTTAAGATTTTATTTATTTGAGAGAGAGAGAGCGAGCACATGAGAGGGGGGAGGGTCAGAGGGAGAAGCAGACTTCCTGCTGAGCAGGGAGCCTGATGTGGGACTCGATCCCGGGACTCCAGGATCATGACCTGAGCCGAAGGCAGTCGCTTAACCAACTGAGCCACCCAGGCGCCCCTATAAAACCGTTTTAATACCATTAATGTCAAGTTTTCTGCTTGGCTTGTGAATGCATTCTTTTTTTTTTTTTTAATTTTTTGAAGTTTTTATTTAAATTCCAGTTAGTTAACATGCAATGTAATATTAGTTTCAGGTGTACAATCAGTGATTCGACACTTCCATACATCACCCTGTGCACATCACAAGTGCCCTCCTCAATCCCCATCACCCATTTCACCCATCCCCCGACCCACCTCCCTGCTGGTAACCATGTTTGGTCTCTATAGTTAACAGTCTGTTTCTTGGTTTGCCTCTCTCTTTTCCCTTTGCTCATTTGTTTCTTAAATTCCACATATGAGTGAGATCATAAGGTATTTGTCTTCCTCTGACTGACTTCTCTTAGCATGCTATTCTCTAGTTCCATCCACGTTGTTGCAAATGGCAAGATTTCATGTGAATGCATTCTTTGGACTTAAATTTTTCTTAATGTTCTTCAACTGGTTGGCTGTTTACTTTTTTCCCTTATATTCCTTTAAACTTCAAAAGCCATGATTCTCAACTTTGGGAGCATTGAAAAAAAGACCAAACTGACTACCTTGAGCCCTTGGGATGACTATCTATCTATCTATCTATCTATCTACCTATCTATCTATCTATCTATCTATCTATCTATCTATCTATCATCATCTATCTATCATCTGTCAGAGAGAGAAAGTGCTTGTGAGCTTGGGACAAGCAGGGGAAGCGGCAGGCAGGGGGAGAAGCAGGCTCCCCGCTGAGCAGGGAGCCCCAAGCGGGACTCAATCCCAGGACCCTGGGATCATGACCTGAGCTGAAGGCAGATGCTTAACCAACTGAGCCACCCAGGCATCCCTTGGCATGACATTTTAAGAAGCTGCTTAAGGTGATTTAATGTGCAGCCAGAGTTGAGAACCAGTGCTTGCTGGCAACTTGTGGAACTGACATTTAAGTACCCATCCTGCTAATATTTGTTTTTGTTGATAAACTTCGAAAGTAGTTTAAAAAAAACTCCAAGAATAGATACAGAGAAAGACACAGAGAAAAGAGCTTGCATTCTTAGGCTTTTTAAAGCAGTGCTTCTCAGCTTTGGCTGCCATTAGAGTCACATAGGGACCTTCTAAAATTCCCAATGGCTGAGTCTCACTCCAGACCATTTAACTTAGACTCTGGGAGTATGACACAAACAATATTTGAAGAAACCTCCTCAGATGATTCCAGTGTATAGCCAAGCTTGGGAAACATTATGAAGATATTTATCATCCCATATCATAAATTGGTGCATGTTTGGTTTTAAGTAACACTACTTTGGGCCCTCTTTATCAGCTTTCAGAGCCAGCTGCACCAGTGGGTCTCAAAGTATGGCCCTGACCAGCAGTGTCAGGATCACCGAGGTACTTGTTAGAAATGAAAGTTCATGGGCCCTACCCTAGACCCATTGATCAGAAAATGTCTGTTTTAATAAGCCCCTCATGTGATTCTGAAGCGTTCTCCAGTTTGGGAACCATTGATCTTAGCATCACAGAGGGGTGAACTCTGCTATATTTGATGATGTACTACATTTGTATTCACTTTTCTAGTCCAAACTCAGATTACTTTTATTTCTTGTGTTAGGACTCAAGTTTTTGGCTAATATATGACTTCTCCAAAATGCCCCAGGGGCACCCGGGTGGCTCAGTCCATTCTGCCTTTGGCTCAGGTCATGATCCCGTGGTCCTGGGATGAAGCCCTGAGTCAGGCTCCCTGCTCAGTGGGGAGCCTGCTTCTCCCTCTCCCTGCCCCTCCCCTGCTTGTGCTCTCTCTCTCTCTAATAAATAAATAAAATCTTAAAAAAAAAAATAAATGCCCCAGAAAGCTGCTAATCACTTGCTAAACTTTAATAAAATTTGCAGTTTTCCATATTACAGCTTGGGAGAGAAACTAGATTGATAATTAAATCCATAGTTAATGATACAGTCATTCCTATGGTGTATAGTGAGATCATTTAAGTTAGCAGAATTTAATAATAATTTACTGTTTACTAAGTGCCAGGCATGGTTTTAGCCACTTCTCATGATTTTAAGACACCTTTATGAGGTAGATACTATTCCTTCTTTTGCAGATGAAGAAACTGAGGTCCCAGGAGCTAAGTACCCTCTCAAAGTCACACAACTTAGGCAGGAGGGCCCTGGGATGGCATATAGGAAGTCTTTGCACAAAGCCGACACTATGCTGCCATCTTACAGTGACTATGGTATGGAAGCACAATAATGATAACAATAATAATAATAATTATAGCTATTCTTATTGTGCCGTAACTGTGGTTATCTCATTAAAATCTCACAGTAAAACTGAGTTAGACATGTTTGAATGCCACCCACCTCCCCTTTACAGATGAGGGAATTGAGCCCTGGAGGTGAAGTAAGTTGCCTAATGTCAGGGTGTATGAGGTAAAGCAGGACTTGAAGCTCTTTTTTTTTTTTTTTTTTTAAAGAGAGCACATGAGCGGGGAAAGGGGGTGGGGGGCAGAGGGAGAGGAAGAGAGAGAATCTTAATAAGGCTCCATGCTCAGCACAGAGCCCGATGCAGGGCTCAATCCCACGACCTTGAGATCATGACTTGAGCCAAAATCAAGAGTCAGATGCTTAACTGAGTCACCCAGGCACCCCTCTTTTTAAAAAATAATTATTGGACTCTTCCTAACTTGATCTAGCACAGTGGCTAAAGCTTCAAGTATTGCAATCAGAAAGCTTGGATTCAAATGCCATTTCTGCCATTTGGGCTGTGTCCCTGAGTAAATTATCTCATTTTTTCCCATTTGAGTGAGACATGATATATCTTAATAGGGTTGTGAGGAGTAAGAGAGGTGAGTATATGTAAATATGTTAAGAACAGGGTCTGACATAATAAGCATTCAGGAATGATGACTGCCAGTTTTTTGGTGCACAAATACACTATTTCCAGATTTTTAAAGATATTACGTAGTGAATTCTTTGTGGTTTTCTCAGATTAACAATTGGACCCAGTGCTTTAAAATTTAGAGATATTTGGAGGTTGAAAGAAAACATGTTGAGAATATTATTTGAAAATGTAACTAACATGCTGTTTAAAAATAAGTTTATCATATGTTTTCTGACTTTTTGGACACCCTGGATATACCATTTAATAACATAAAGATAATGTTTTAAGTCAGGAGACTTTAAAAGTCAAGAATAGGGGCGCCTGGGTGGCTCAGTCGTTAAGCGTCTGCCTTCGGCTCAGGTCATGATCCCACGGTCCTGGGATCGAGCCCCGCATCGGGCTCCCTGCTCGGCAGGAGGCCTGCTTCTCCCTCTCCCACTCCCCCTGCTTGTGTTCCCTCTCTCGCTGTCTCTCTCTCTGTCAAAAAAAAAAAAAAAAAAAAGTCAAGAATACTTGACTAAAGAGAACATTTCAATACTACCAACAAATGCAAGGAATGAAGTTTTTGGAAAACTGTAACATAGAAACCAATAAACACAAAATATAATACAACCTTTTTAAAATCAACTTTATTGAGAAATAATGTATATATAACTGCATCTAAATTTAAAAAGAACAATTAATTGACTTTTGGCAGATGAAACTACCGCCACAAGACACATTTTTGTCATCTCCAAAAGATCCTCCTGTCTCTTCAGTGCATCCCTTGGTTTACTCTAGCCCTGGGCAACCACTGATGTGCTTTTTGTCATCATAGATTCCTTTACATTTTATCTAAAAGGAATCATACATTGTACTATTTTGTAGCTGGCTCTTTCACTCACCATAACTGAGATTCATTCATGTTATGTGTTTCAGTTTCTTCCTTTTTACTTCTGAGTAATATTCCATTGTATGGATATTTATCCATTTACCTGTCAATGACCATTGGGTTTCTTTCCGGTTTTTGGCTATTGTGAATATAGCTGCTATGAACATTCACAGACAAGGCTTTGTATGGATATAAGTTTTTGTTTCTCTTGGGTAAATACTTCAGACATGGAATGGCTTGATATATGTTTAACTTTTAAAGAAACTGCCAAGTGGTTTTCCAAAGTCATTGTACCATTTTACATTCCTAACAGCCGTCTATGAGAGTTCCAGTTGCTGCATATCTTCCACA